TCCTTCCCTTCCCCTTCTCACCTTCCTTCCTTCTTCTCTTCACTTACCTTCTTCCTTCCCCTTCCCATCTCCCTCCCTCCCTTTCTTCCTCCCTTCCTCCTTCCCTTCTCACCTTCCTCACCTTACTCACCTTCCTCCTTCCCTTCTCACCTTCCTCCCTCCCCTTCTCACCTTCCTTCTTCTCTTCACTTACCTTCTTCCTTCCTTCCTTCCTTCCCCTTCCCATCTCCCTCCCTCCCTTCCTCCCTTCCTTTATAAACTTCCTTATTCCCAATTTAAGACCCTTTCCCAGAAATTTGCCCGCCCTCTGGCTGCGGAGATTTGGGGGTGAGTTAGACCTCCTTAAATATTGCGACCACTAAACCCATAAAACAAATCACACGCCAACTCGACAGCCATCCTTGGCTGGGCTACTCAAGACTCAATCCTATGGAGTTCAATAGTACCGACTCTTGCTTCGATGGGGCTAGAGTTGGGGCCCTTCCAGGTAGTCCTTGACTTAACGACTGTTCGTTTAGCGACCGTTCAAAGTTACAACAGCTCTGAAAAAGGTAACGACTGTGTTTTTCCGCACTTACGACCATTGTCCATTCAGACATTTGGCGACGGGCTCATATATACGAAATCCCGACCGGGGGTGTGTGTCATGTGACCGCCTTTTGCGACCTTCAGTGGGGGAGCCACTCAACCACCAGGTTACTAACAAGTTAACAACTGTGGCAAGAAAAGCCATAAAAATGGGGCGAAACTGGCTTAAGAGCCGCCTGGCTTAGCAAAGGAAATAATAATAATAATGGTAAAGTTGGAAGGGACCTTGGAGGTCATCTAGTCCAACCCCCTGCTCAGCCAGGAAACCCTATACTGTTTCAGACAAACGGTTGTCCAGTCTCTTCTTAAAAACCTCCAGTGTTGGAGCATTCACCGCTTCTGGAGGCAGGTGGTTCCATTGGTTAATTGTTCTGACTGTCAGGAAATTTCTCCTTAGTTCTAGGTTGCTTCTCTCCTTGGTTAGTTTCCATCTGTTGCTTCTTGTCCTGTCTTCAGGTGACTTTGGAGAAGAGCTTGACTCCCTCTTCTTTGGGACAGCCCCTAAGATACTGGAAGACTGCTATCCTGTCCCCCCTCGTCCTTCTCCTCATTAAACTAGACATCCCCAATTCCAGCAGCCTTTCCTTATATGTTTTAGCCTCCAGTCCCCTAATCATCTTTGTTGCTCTTCTCTGCACTCTTTCTAGAATCTCAGCATCTTTTTTACATCGTGGTGACCAAAACTGGATGCAGGATTCCAAGTGTGGCCTTACCAAGGCCTTGTAAAGTGGTATTAACCCTTCACCTGATCTTGATTCTCTCCCTCTGTTAATGCAGCCCAGCACTGTGTTGGCCTTTTTGGTTGCTGCAGCACACGGCTGGCTCCTATTTAAATGATTGTCCACTAGGACTCCGAGATCCCTCTCGCAGTTACTACTATTGAGCAAGGTACCCCCTATACCACAGGTAGGCAACCTTGGCTCTTTTATGACTCGTGGACTTCAACTCCCAGAATTCCTGAGCCAGCATGGGGGAACTATGGCCCCCTCATGACTCGTGGACTTCAACTCCCAGAATTCCTGAGCCAGCATGGCTCAGCTTGGAAACCTCTCCCTTTCCCCTCAGCATGGCTGGCTCAGGAATTCTGGGAGTTGAAGTCCACGA